CGTACATTTAGTTTTCTACTCTCTCTGTAGACAAGCGCTAAAGTGACGTTTGGCTAAAGGCATAGATAAACCTGTGCCTTTCCTACCAGATTTCCATATTCTCCACACTGACAAGCACAATGTGGAGATTATGGCGACACCTGACACTTGACAATCGCAGTGCGAAGATTATAGCCTGATGGCTATAATCGACCTATTGGCAACGGATGGGTCTTAATAGGGCTGATACCAATGCGGAGACCCTAAAAGATTACTGGGGCTCCTGCATGAAGTGCAGAAGTAGGTTTTTAGTCAGTAAGAAACTGACACTCCCTTTCGCTTCGCCTAGGCGAGAGCAGTCATAATTTTTTCCCTCTTAAAAACGTGTGGAGATTATGGCGAACTCTTTTATCTAGGGACCCAAAAACCCATAGAACCAGCAATAGGTTTTCAGGAGCTATAAATAATCATGATGGTACTTAATAATTATTTTAATTTTGATTTTAATACTAGATCACACATCGTATTTTATGAAAAAATACGAAATCTTTTTTAAAAACGAAAATATCGTGTGCATATAGGGCGGAGTTGCCCCACCTGTGTCGAATATTAAACTATTCGTCCTCGGCTTTTTTCGTCCTGTGTACATTGGACAATACAAACAGTATGCGATACATTTTCAACGATTTTAACGGGTCATGGGATCACTGTGCTTTTTACGACCAGTGCGCGTAAACTTAGATTGAAAAATAGCTTTGTAGCACATTTATCTACATTCATTACAATGGCGGGAGTTTTAAACGAGTTTATTTTCAGTTTTAAGTGTATGCACGTGTGATTAAAAAGAGGTTTCTTATTTTTTTTATTATATATTAAAAAAACCATTCCCCCTCATTATGATTTTTCTTCTGTGTCATGTGTGCGTTTACAAACATACAAGTTCACATATACAATGAAACCCAGAGTCGTAACAACAATTTGTGGATCACACAAAGTGTTGTTGCGTGCGGGAATAGAACCCTCGACACGTTGCACGGCAGCCGGTTGCCCGGTTTTCCGATTTATACGATTTTCGGCGGTAGCACAAAACTAATGTTTTATATAGGATTTGAATCTGCAACTCGCTGTCTAATAGTCAGATGTAAAATCAAACTATGTGTACAAATAACTCTGTTTTAAGCAAATCTACACAAATTAGTTACAAACAAGTTTTGATAGGGTAAGCATCCCTATTCACGAGCAGTCTCAAAAGACCAAACTTTAGTTATTGCCCCTACATATACAGTCAAATAGAGATACATTTCATTTGGTAGAGTCGACGCTCCCGCTTGTATGTAACAGATGCAGGTTTGTTTTAATTGTATTTTGCTTTTACTGTATTTTTTATTTTCATATCGCAACGTTTGAAATTTATTTCGATAGAGATATGTAAAACTGTCCAGTAGATCGATTAAACATATTTCTAGTTCTTTTTTAGTGTTGGAATTACAGTTTCAGACCTTTGGAAGGCATTTAAGAAACGGATGTCAAATCAACAGGGTAAGTTAGGTAATGTTACTAGTCTTATGCCGGAATACTGAAACGTTACTCAATTATAAGTCGTACTTAAATATCGTGCCATCTCTGTTATTGTACAAAGAATTTGTGGAGACACAACTATACTTAAGCGCGACTTTAAATTGAGTACCGTTTGAGTATTCCGACAAAAACCCAGTAAATCCTCATCGAACATCTAATTACTACTATCCTCTATTTACTTTACGCTTAACTAAGCCAACTGGCTTAGTAAATATTGTGAAGGTCTTGCTGGAGATGGAGGAGCTATGCCGTGCAACCAGTAATTTTATCATTAAGCCTTTGACTGCCGACAGAAAACTGCTGAAGGCAAATTCTCCGCTGACGTAGGTCGTCGGTGACCTACGCGGCAGTTAACGTGTTAAGGTATCTTGTATCCCTCAGGGAAGTGATCGGCGATGGCGACCTCTCGCGTCCGAGCCTAGTGCAGGCCATGATGCGGAGCGAGGGGGATTGGGATGCCGTCTCCTCCTTTTCGTCCTCCTCGTCATGCTAGCTAAGGAGGAGGCGGGACGCGTGAGGCAGCGAAGCGCTGCCTCCTTGCAATCCAGCCATCGCGAAGGACACACCGGGCGTCGGGGATCGCGGGACGATCTCCGGCCACCGTAAGCGCGGGCCTGCGGACGGCGAGCATGGGTGGCTCCCCGTCCGACCAGAAACAGACCCGAGCGTACGGCGCGTCGCGTTCCGCGCGCGCCTCAAAGAGCCATCAGACCACCACAGATGGGGCCCAATAGGGCCGATGCCGATTCGGAGTCGCGGAGAACCTAACGGGTAACCGGGGCTCCGGCTCGACGTGCAGGAGAAGGAACGGGGTGGTTTTTAGTCAGTAAGAGTCTGACACTCCCTCCCGCCTCACCCAGGCGGGAGCAGTCATTCGATGATTTTCCCCCCTTAAAAAAAAAAAAGGTATCTTGTATAGATGTTTTATCTCACGAGCGCGGGTGCACCATACTTATGTGGGTACATGTACACGGACATTGTCTTTTTATAGATACCATCTTTAGTTACAATAGTCGAACCGTACTTAGTAATAATTGGATTAATGGTGATCATGGTAATAGTGAAAATTTTGAAAATACACCTTTTGATGAGCGATTATTATTACTTGCTAACAATCAACCAACCATGTATAGAAAATTAGGACATACATTATTTAATCTGTATACAGCAAAAACAGAATATATAACATAGAATTAGGTTGTATATTCAGAATAATAAGCATATATTATGTAAACAAGCCTTTGACAATTAAGCCTTTAAATATGTCGCGAAAATTGGTTCGTTTAATGAGCAAATATGCTTTAGATGTTTATAAGCGATATTTGTCTTCATAAATTATGAGTAATTTGCTAGATATTCTCCTAACAAGGAAATATAATTGCTCAATGTATTAGATGTTTGGATGTTACGTAAAAATATGGAGATAAGATTTATAATAGGTATCTACCTAAGGGTCGATATTTCCAACGCCAGATAACTTTGAATATTTTACAATTATTCCATAATAAAAACTGTCGATTGAAAAATCGGTACTAAGTTTTTTATTTCTCGAAGTAGGTAATTGCATTTTTAATTTATTTTTATAATGGTAACCCATTGGTTTATCATTAAGAGCAATGAGGCTAATTGTATAATTTATGATTCAAACAGTCATCATCACTTTCTTCGATTTGAAAATCGAACGAAGCATTGTTCACTAGTCGTATTTAGAACTGTGAAGCCTACTAGACCGTTATTTAAAATATGCAAACCGTATATTTTACTTTTTAAATATAGAAAAGTACCTCATCTAACCTAAGTACGTCTGTACACAGCATTTTCGTAAATTTTTCAAGGGCTCTAAAACAAACCGTTTTGTGCTCCTAATTAACCTGACTCGCTCGTCGTGATTAGGGACACTAATTAGCCCCTCCTTTTACGGTTTCATTAAAGGGTCTATGTGGTACCTTTAACAGGTACCGCTTGTGTAATATATTTTTATGCTTGTAGGATAAATTGTAGTGCCTACCTTGTCGAATTAATTGTAAAATCGTGGTTAAGTAAATATTTGAAAGTAAGTTATAAGGTTTACTTATTTTTATGTTTTTAGGTATTAATCGCAAATTTAATAGAAGATTCTTTGCCTGAAGAATCACACACAATTACTCATAATATTTTTTGTAAAGGTACAAAACATATTATGAGTAATTGTGTGTTCCTTTTCGGGCGAGGGCCCGAAAAGGAAATTGGCTAGAACTATTGCAATAGGTTGAAACCAACTAGTAAAACCATTAGTTGCAATCCCTAGATTAACATTATAACACAGAATATTAAAAAATAGCAAGATACAATTTTAAAAATGTGCAATCTTTTAAAGTTTGATGCAGAAGTGATAGTAAGACTTTTCTGGATAAATGGCCCATTTGTCGCTGAAGTCGCCTGAGGATAAGAGCTAGCCTAGCAGTATTGGCTGGACCACTTCAGATATTGCAAGGACATTCATTCCAATATTCCAAGTAGAAAATGTTTCTACATTAAATTTTATAAGAACTGGAAGAATGGGTATTATTTTATTGCAAATTTCTGTTTGTCTGCTTTTTATTGTGTATATTATGTTATTTTACGATATCAGTAGATCACCAGTAAATTCAGCATTGTTTGATAAAAATATCGTAATAACGGGAACAATTAAACTTAAGTAAAATAGAGTAATTATTTTAATTATATTGTTATCTTAAATCTGAACAAAAACAAGGACTATAATGGCATAGATAATATTTCATAACAATAAACAGAAAGACAATAAGTAGGTACCCAATAAAATAAAGTAAAATCGGGAATAAATCACGGCCGAGAATATTATTTCAATAAGAAACCTCAACGTTATTGTATAAAGAAACGAAAATGCTCCGATACTACAAATAAGTATCTATTAGGAATGACGGAAACGATAATTTCCAAGCAAAATAATTTCCCACAACAAAAAAGAATATCATAAAAATATCGTGAATAAGTATAACATGGACACGAAGTTAAAACCCGGTACAAAAATCTGAAACATATAAGTTATGAGATTTTTTCAAAATAACAATTTGTTTATTGGGACAAACTAGGCTTCGGATGACAAACTTGCAACAGTGAAATGTCAACAGTAAAGTTATTGATGTTAATTAAAAAGTTACGGCACATTTATCATCGAACAAGTTTGCTGTGACAGAAATCGTTACAGTAAATTATTTTTATGATTCGATGGCAATGCTTAAGTTTGTTAATAACAAACATGGTTGTTCATCAATCCGTATGATTGACTATATGTGACAATAGCAGAAGAGGACAACAATTCACAAAAAAATCAGTTACAAGTTTCCTTGACATTAATAAAGTCAAAATTAACGAAGCATAGTCTTTCCCAATTATCAACCCTAAGCCCATAGATATAAAACTTAAATAGGTGTAATACATACTTGGTCTCATCAATGTAGACAGCTTCAAGAACTTTTGCAGCATACTGAAGGTTCTTTTGTAAAGTCTCTGCGGATATTTCACCCCTATTCAATTGTCTTAGGAGATAGCGTAATCTGTGAACAAAAGAGAGAAATAGAATTAATTAAGAGACATTCATTATGAGGTACATTTTATGTGTCGGAGTGGCTTGGGTTAATTCTTGTTACGTTCGTCGTGGTGAGAATTATTTGCTAATAAAACACGAAAGAGAGTTTGTGGAGTCACATATTGTCATGGAACAAAACGATTTTTCCACGTGGCGTAGGTTGATAAAATTCACATTTTACAATTTATTATTGCTTCATTCTGTGAACGAAATCATCAATACAAACCAACAAAAAGTTTTCTAACCAACAGTTAAAAGAAAACGCGAAGGCCCGAGTAAGTAGTGCACGTTTATCCCTGAACATATTACCCCAGAAACTGGTTTATCTTGGTAGATAATATAATTAACAAGGCCAGAAGTTTGTATTTTCTCAACATTTACGTTATTAACTAAGGAAATCTAATTCCGACCTTTAAGGGCACTTACTAAGCAGAGCTAATCGTCTGTGGGTGTGGAAAGGTTCCCAGCGTTGGTTCTCACCCTTCCCCACATAAATTGGATTGCCCAGCTAATGCTTTACACGCACTTATCCGAGATTTCCGATATCAGATATTGCTCTTTTATTTGATTTCAACTCGAGAAGTGGAGGAAAATACGATGTCAAGTGCGAAATAAAATTCTTACTTTAATTCTTTACTCATATTATATCTCATAGTTTTAAGATGTCGCTTGAATGGGTCGAAAGATACAGTATTAGTTTTATTAAAAAAATATACATTTTGCAGATTTTGGGAAGACTATAGCGACCAAACCCCCCAAAAAGCGAACTATACTGTTAAGGTAAAGTAAATAATCACTTTCAAAATCATATTTTGACGAACTTTGAAAATTTATTTACCAACATAAAATGTATTCATTTTCCATAATAGAACATAAAACAACCTGACCCACTTCCCACGTAACAAAATAACAGTTTATCAAAGTTCAGCATAATGACCCATTCATAGAGAATAGAATAAATATAAACTGTTTTACTTGGAAAGAGTTCAGAACTAATAAGTCCGGATAGAAGAAAATAAAAAAGAAAGTATTTGCGTAAGTATCGTTCCTGTCAGTTATAAGGTCGTTTGGAAACTCAACAGGTAATTTCTTGTAGATAATTTTTATTTCCCTCGGATGAGAGAAGCTTAGGTATTACATTTTTTTTCATGATGTGAGTGGCTTTTAGTAGAACTATTTTTTATTTTAACAGCATTACAAATATTCCAGTAGGAAATTTTAAAGACCCAGATTACTCACTGTACTATAGGTTTTAACCGGTAGCTGGTTGTTTTTATTTATCGTATGATTTTTATGTCCGGAGAAAGTTAAGCGACTAGAAAGTGATATAGTTTCACTTTACCTTGCGGATGAAGCAGTAGGTAATAGCCAGTTGACTATAAATCGCAGTACATTACTATAACAATACAACACCTGTAAAATTATTTCAGACCACTATTCTGTTTCTCTCTTTGTTTTCCCACTCCAGGTTTTCCTACAAACCTTACTAAATCATTTCCCTATCTGCTTCCTATGTTTGTTTTAACATTTTCATAGAACGTATTATTATTATTCATGAAAGCTTGAACTGAAATCAACCGAAAGTGTAATTATGTTTTTTTAAGTTACTTTGATCTGTCATCAGTCACATTTTTAAGTTGTACTTGAATATCGTGCCATCACTTTCATTATACAAAGAATTTGTAGTGACAGAACTA